TGCTAAGGGCAATGTTATCAAGTGAGAAAGTATGCATTTTCCCCAAAGGAGTTGGGGCTTGGGCTGAAACTCCATAACAAGAGAAGCACAGGACCAATTGTGACTCAGAGTTATAGTATCTTCTAATTTGCTAAGTAGGAAATGATATACAGGTGAAACTCAAAAAATTAGAATATCGTGCAAAAGTTCATTTATTTCGGTAATGCAACTTAAAAGGTGAAACTAATATATGAGATAGACTCATTACATGCAAAGCGAGATAGTTCAAGCCTTGATTTGTCATACTGTTGATGATTATGGTTTACAGCTCATGAAAACCCCAAATTCACAATCTCAGAAAATTAGAATATTGTGAAAAGGTTCAATATTCTAGGCTCAAAATGTCCCACTCTAATCAGCTAAGTAAGACATAACAACTGCAAAGGGTTCCTGAGCCTTTAAATGGTCTCTCAGTCTGGTTCAGTAGGAATCACAATCATGGGAAAGACTGCTGACCTGACAGTTGTTCAGAAAACCATCATTGATACCCTCCATAAGGAGGGAAAGCCTCAAAAAGTAATTGCAAAAGAAGTTGGATGTTCCCAAAGTGCTGTATCAAAGCACATTAATAAAAAGTTATGTGGAAGGGAAAAGTGTGGAAGAAAAAGGTTGCACTAGCAGCAGGGATGACCACAGCCTGGAGAGGATTGTCAGGAAAAGGCCATTCAAAAGTGTTGGGGACTTTTGGACTGAGGCTGGAGTCAGTGCATCAAGAGCCACCACGCACAGACTGATCCTGGACATGGGCTTCAAATGTTGTATTCCTCTTGTCAAGCCGCTCCTGAACAACGAACAATGTCAGAAGTGTCTTACCTGGGCTAAAGAAAAAAAGTTCTCTTTTCTGATGAGAGCAACTTTTGCATCTCATTTGGAAACCAAGGGCCCAGAGTCTGGAGAAGAATGTAGAGGCGCACACTGCAAGATGCTTGAAGTCCAGTGTGAAGTTTCTACAGTCTGTGTTGATTTGGGGAGCCATGTCATCTGCTGGTGTTGGTCCACTGTGCTTCATTAAATCCAGGGTCAACGCAGCTGTCTACCAGGAGATTTTGGAGCACTTCATGCTTCCTTCCGCAGACGAGCTTTATGGGGATGCTGACTTCATTTTCCAGCAGGACTTGGCACCTGCCCACACTGCCAAAAGTACCAAAACCTAGGATTACGGTGCTTGATTGGCCAGCAAACTTGCCTGATCTGAACCCCATAGAGAATCTATGGGGCATTGCTAAGAGAAAGATGAGAGACATGAGACCATGCAGAAGAGCTGAAGGCCGCTATTGAAGCATCCTGGTCTTCTGTAATACCTCAGCAGTGCCACAGGCTGATAGCATCCATGCCACACCGTATTGAGGCAGTAATTGATGCAAAAGGGGCCCAAACCAAGTACTGAGTACATATGCATGCTTATACTTTTCAGAGGTCTGATATTGTTCTATGTACAATCCTTGTTTTATTGATTTCATGTAATATTCTAATTTTCTGAGATTGTGAATTTGGGGTTTTCATGAGCTGTAAGCCATAATCATCAAAATTATGACAAATCAAGGCTTGAACTATCTCGCTTTGTATGTAATGAGTCTATCTCATATATTAGTTTCACCTTTTAAGCTGCATTACCGAAATAAATGAACTTTTGCACGATATTCTAGTTTTTTGAGTTTTACCTGTATATTTTAAATATTCTGCAATCTAGCAGCAGACACGTTTATACTATAATTAGAAAGCAGTATGTTCATATCCAGGAAAAAAGTAAGAACAAAAAATGATTGTGGAATTATACAACAAGTGAACTGAAAGTTTAGATGGAGGATATCCTCATAACATGAAGAAAAGAGCTAATAGCCTGTCAAAAGAAACTGTATCAGATTTAAGGTCAAGTAAAACATAAATTTTTCATATTTTGAAGAGAACAAGCAATCTCTTGTGGTTGTCATGGAGAGATGTTTACAGGAATTGTAAGTACACAGACTTTTTATATACAGTTTCTCATGCCTAACAAAATTTAAATCACTGCATAGACTGAATCTAGTTATAATAGTGTTTCTTTTTCCAATATTCCAAATGTGACAATATTATGTAACCACATGAGAAGATATGCCCTGAAAAATGCCAGAAAAGCTTATTTCTCACTGATTTCCCATTAGGAATTATAAAACAAATTAAAGAATCTAACCTTTTCATTTTCCAGTTTGTTTATAGTTTCCTCATAATAGGAAATCTCAGACAACTACATTTGCACCCCAAAACCATATTCTGCAGTTTGGAGTTCCAGAGGCACTCCAAACAGCAGCAAAATAACACAAATTAGTAGAAGGAAATTATTCAAAAGTTGTAGAAATTATTAGGTTTATTTTTAAAAAGTAACAAAAAGAAGTAGGTGCTTTAAAACTCCAAAAGTTTTAAGATGATTAAAAGACAAAAAATATGTAGCTAAGGTTTGAATTGTGGAGTCTTTGGTGCTCTCTGAGATTTCATTACTGGCCTATGTATCATTAGTGCTGTTGAGTGCGGGGCTTGCTTATATACAGTAGCTTGCCCTACCAGTGTTCATGGAGATGTGGCTTTCTCCTTGAAAGTCCATTGATTAGGCTATTGTTCTTTGCTGATTGTTTATCTGTGTTAATCCCTACTCATCTGTGTTGGTTGCTGAAAGAGATATAGTCTGGTCTTTTTGCTTTCTTCTTAGCTTTTTTTTTTTTAACAAAAACTGTTGTCTCTTTAAAATAGTGTGTAAATGTAGTTTATCTCCAAATGTCCATTGATGGCTGATTTGTCTGAATGCCAATTCCCTAGCATCTTGGATTTAGCTTGCTCTTGGATGCATCATTTCCCGGTTGAAACTATGATTCAGTCTGCTCAGATTAAGGAATTTTCATCGTCTTCTAACTCTAGTATGATACATATCAGAAACAACTAAAAGATTTTTACATCAAAAACTTCTCAGAAACCACCAATAGACGACAACCGCAAGGCATCATTTAGCACACAAACCAACTAAAGCCATCCAAAACATCTTAAGTAAATCAAAAGATCCTGTAGCCCCAGAAGGAAAAAAAAACCAGGAGTCATCTACAACATACCATACCAACAACATACAACATAAGGACTGTTACAGACATTATGTAGGACAAACACGCCGAAAATTAACAGAGTACATCCATGAATATCAACAAGCAGGTTTAAGATGACTATTTCAGCAATAACCCCTCCTTCCAAAATATAGGAGGTTGTAAACATTAAGGTCTGTTCAATGAAAGCTAGGAGCCCTAGATACTATCAATAATTAGAAGGCAAGAATAAAGATTTAATAGGTTCCTTTCCTTTTGAAAATATGCCGCTTTTTATTGTTTTTCTTTCAAAGAAAAATATATCTTTGCTGAATAAGAATTACAGATTTAATGTATACTTACAGCAAAATGTATGCTTAACACAATGCCAAGTATGAAACAAAAGGCATTAGGAACTATAGAGACTAAACAACCCTTATCTCCACCCCTTTTAATCACTGCTTAGAAAACTTAGTATATATCAAAATATAAGACAAACTTATGGTCAGCCTTATTTGTTTTGAAACTAAAGTTAAGAAAAAGTAGCATTAAATATGTACAATACAATAATTGAATGTATTTAAATGCCTCCAAGTTAATAGGAAACTTTTAATTTACAATATACCTTAACTTAATTACATTATTTATTTAAAACAATAATTTACTTAAAACAATAATGTGATTAAAATTTAGATCAGTTTTAATCAACCGCACATCAGTTTCTAAGTATAAATACGGACATTTTAACTTCATATTTAGATATTCAATATCTGACATTAGTGGCACTTAAATGTGCCCAAATGTTTTTTTTGTGCATACCTTTTTTGTGCATACAGTAATTGAAGTCTTTGCCTAATACTTTGAACCAAAAAGTCTTTGAGTCTAATAAACTTCTTACCATTATTGCCATATACTGCATCAAATTATCAGGCATCAGAATCAGTCCCATGCAACTCTTTTTATTCTCTTTGATAATAGGCAGACTGGCAATAATCTCAGGCAATCATATTCAAACAGCAGGAAAAGCAAATTTCTTCGACTGCTAAAGAACTATTTTTTTGTTATTTTATTATTTCATATTATTTTCAGTGGCTTCAGCTTCAACAAGGGTCTAAATTCAAAGATTTTATTCAGCTGGTACTTTAGACTGAGTTTAAATTTAAGAAATGCATTTCAACACAAAGTTTTAACATTTCAGAAAGCTTATGGCTTGGTTTAACAGAATATTTTATTTGGGGTTCAGAGACATTTTAGTTATGCCAGTAAAACCTGACATTTCACTCTTATATTGTTTATGTAATAATCACAGTCTCTGCCATTATACTATGGTATAATGCGCTAATTGATAGAGAGTTGGATCACTGCATTTTACATTTTACAATTAGTTAATTGTATTGAGTTGAGTAAATACTCAACTCAATACAACATAAGCAATCATGAGTAACTTATTCAGTAAAATAATGCTTTAAAGCATGGGAAAAAGAAAGAAGAATTAAGTAATGCTTTTCATTATTTATGTGTAAGTGACATTTTTAAAAGTAAAGATATACAGGCTTTTTGCTAGAAGAAAACTATTTTGTGTATAACCAATATACTACACTTTTAATATAAAGATGGCTGAATGATAGCCAACCCTTATAAAAGAAAAACACTCTTAAATTATAGTTCAATTTTTTAAAAATGACATTTCAGATGCCATTTTTGCAGGAAAATATTTATAAAATACAGGTATTTCCTATTCCATGTAATTTTTTACATGGAAATACTCACATGGTTTCCAGCAATTGCTAGTAAGTTATCTTTAAACTGTAAGTGTGGTGCTGACTCTATATTTTTAGTTCCAGATCTATATCTAGATCTTTACCTCCAGCAGTACTGGAATATAGGTTTATAATGAACATAAAAAGGAAAGCTTACCTATAAAATAAGATAGCAGTATTGCCAGAAGCACAGACACCCCAACAGCACAGAGTGCTGTACATTTCCAGCTACAGTACTTTGAAGACTTCTTAAATTTAAAAGCACTTCTTGATAAGGTGTTCCTAGGTAGTGGTCGTGTAGGAGGGGAATAAACTGAGCCAGACGCCATTGTGTAACCCGGTGTTGCAGTACTGAACAGTGGTGTTGTCCCTGTTCCTGTTTTGAATAGGAAATGCCTGCAGAAAAAAAAATACATATATTTAAAATTTACACAAACTAATTTGTAAAATGCTTTATATTATTTTCTTAATGTGCTATTATATTTTCCTGTGTATTTACTTAATCCTTCTTAGATAGGAATAGTTTTAAACATGATATTAAATATTTTTGTTACAAGTATCAAGTACTACATGGAAAAAGTTATTAGAATTGTTGATTGATGCTGTTACTGCTTCCAACATGATTTTTCTAAGCAGATTGTTAAATCAAATTAATTGGAAACATTTTCTAAAGAACATGTAAAACCTTATATATCCAGCAAAACAGTGTATAGTTTGTATCACCAACTGGATAAATATTCCCTATATTATGAAATCCCCATGAGTTCAAGAATAAGAAAATAAATTTCTTACATGATAAGATAAAGATAAATGTTCTATAAGCCAATCTAGTCTCCTGTTGACTTCTGTCAGGAACCTCTCAGCTGGCAAAACAAAATACTGCAAGAATATATTTTGTAGGTCACGACAGCTCAAAAAAGCAGATTTATTGCAGTAAAACTATGAAATCATTATGAAAGAATGCCAGCAACTACTAAATATCAAATGAGAATTCTATTTACATTTCAATCACTGTTCAATTTTTTAATATCTTTCCCAGACCTGCTCCCAATTAAGGTCTTTAAGTAATATGGTTTCCATTTGTTCTGTATTTTGGTAATGGTATGATCTATTTGTTTTTATACTTTTGAACGTGTAAAAATAATTCTCACAACGTCATACATAGATTTCTTGACAATGTCCAATTCACCTAACAGGGTTGGCATTGTGAGAAAACAGATGGTGACAAGATATAAATTTAATATACTATAGTTTAAAAATAATTTAAAAATGGAAAGGTCAATACTGCCCTCTTCTGTGATGTCCTATCAGTTTTCAGTCTAGACTATATCAATGTTTTTTTTTAATATAATAGTACATATATTAACCAGGAGAATCACTGGTTAACTTTTTGAGATGATCCAAGGTCAGGTAGTGCTGCCATCTAGTAAACTTCTTTTATAGAATAGGTTTGGGCAAAAAAGTGCTAACAACAGAAATATCTTACCTGCATTTTTAAAAAGCTGCTGAAATTCTCACTCCCCAAATCTATTGGACATAATATTGATATATTGATGTCATGTTTAATCAACTCTAAATGATATGTATAACAATAACATTATTTTACACTATATGTTACCATAGTTCATAACCAATTATTGGGTAACTACTAAAATCCAGCAAGAGGACCAGGTCAATCAGTTCTTCATATTCTAGAACTAAGAGGAATGGTGCATTATTACTTGCGGTGTCATCATAGGAACATCTTCTCAAAATTACTTGCTTGAGAAATGTCACAAAACATATTCTTCATATTCATTATAGACAAAAATGAAAAAAAAAAGTTCTGTAGCAGGAATATGTAACGGGGATGATGTGGAACAGCACCCTGGACATATGGATAGAGATTTATAATCCTAACTGTATTCAACTATGCAACTCACTATCCAGAAACAGTTCCATTAAGAAATGTGACTATTAAAAAAATAGTATAGGAACTGGACATCTTTAGTGGGATAGGCATACCAAAGAAAATGTTCACAGTTAATGATCTAATTTCCAATCAGTTCTGCTTAGATGTCTTTATGCTGATTTAGGGATAGATATGATTATGCTGCTTTAGGGATAAAAGGGATGCATACCTTATCATCCCCAACAGACAGTCTCTCTGAAAGAGTGAAACAGACCCTGAGAACTGTGCTTCAGAATTATTCAAGTCAGCCCCCAAAACATTGGGATACCTGATAACACATTTAAGGAAATCCCATAGCCAGTTACGGGAGGCAACCTGGAGGAAGGGGGTTGGACCTTACTAAGAAGGCTGGTGTGAAAACTTAGAAGGTCTTAAGAACTTAATAGAATGTATATTGACTCAGAGAAACCAGTTAAAGGTACATGGACACATTGGCCAGAAATAGTAACAAACAGCCAGGAAAAAACAAAAGAGGCAGTATGATAAAGGTTTAAAATCAAAGCAATTCAATGTGAGAAACCAGGTATTATTGTTACAACCTAGTAAAAGAACAAATTGCAAACTAAGCAGCAGGGTCTAATAAGAAGAACTGAGCCAGTGAATTATGAATTTGAACTTGAATAAAGGTAAATCTATTATGCTAATCTCTTAAGGAAATGGCTTGATAAAACTGAACTTGAGACAACTTTATTTGCATTAAAAGAAAGGAAACCAGAACTGTTGGATCAAGCTTGGGATGCAATCATGTGGAAAGGTGCATATTAACAATGGCCCACATGGTTTTGTGCAAGAAGTAACATATGTTACCTCTTGTGCAGGAGTTGCACTAGTTGCTGATTTGCTTCTGGGACCAATTCAGGATACTGACTATCACGTTTAAAGCCCTACATGGCCTGTATGTTACGGCCCCCTTTCTTAAGGAGGTCTATCTAGTGGGACCTAAACAGACTTAAGGTTCTTCTCCATGGTGGCTCATTCATATGGAACATCATCCCTGTGTAATTAAGATTGGCCTCCACCTTGATGCTCTTTTGGAAGACATGGGTTTGGTAGTGACCTGGGCATCCCAGGGTGATAGGGAGTTCATCAAGTGATTTGTTTGATCATTGTTGCAAGGGGCGAGGTTCATTGGGTTTTATGTTTGCGGCTTTATTTCTGTATAAAACCTGGAGTCACTGTAAGTTGGGTAGCCATATAAATTTGCAAAATAAATAAATAAAATAAAATTCAATTCAATTTATCTGCAAATCAAACAAAAGATACGGAAAATACATTAAGTGACTTTAAAAATATGTTAAACATGCAACCAGGATTAATGGATGTAGTAGAACATAGTACAGAAAGGGAGAAATTCAATCTATTCAACAGCCTACCTACAGGTTCCTAGAACATCTAAAAACTCTTTCTATATGTTCTGGAAACCTGTAGACAAGCAATTTATTTATTTATTTATTTATTTTAAAATTTGTATACCGCCCTTCTCCCTGAGGACTCAGGGTGGTGAACAGCCAAGTAAAAACATAAACTACAAACATTAAAAAACAATTAAAAAGATATATATATATAAATTTGGCTCCATGATTAAAAACAATAACAGACAATTAAAAACATTTTAAAATGTGTTAAGCCAGCCCAGCTTGCTGAAAAAGGAAAGTTTTAAGGGCACTATTTAACAAAGTGAAGTAGATAAGATGCTCGAAATGGACATTATAGAACCATCTGTAAGTCACTGGTGTTCTCCAATCATATTACTGACAAAATCAAATAAAGAAATACGATTTTGTATAGATTTCCAGCAAATAAACTGAGTGGCAAAATTTGAAATATTCAATGACCCAGGTTGATGGCCTCTTGGATGGCCTAGATGGAACCACTATTTATTATCTTTAGACTTACCTAATGGATATTGCAAAATTTTACTGGAATATCATTCAAAAGAGACACATTTGCCGCCCCACAAGGTATCTCTCAATTCAAGACAATACTTTTTAGGCTATAGGTTGCGCAACAGCTCCCCCAGCACCTGGATGAAACGACGTATCTGGATCCGTTCCAGTCGGGCTTCAGGCCTGGGTACAGCACGGAAACGGCATTGGTCGCGTTGGTTGATGATCTCTGGAGGGCTCAGGACAGGGGGTGCTCCTCTGTCCTGGTCCTGTTAGATCTCTCAGCGGCTTTTGATACCATCGACCATGGTATCATGCTGCACCGGTTGGAAGAGTTAGGGGTGGGAGGCACTGTGTTGCGGTGGTTCTCCTCCTTTCTCTCTGACCGGTCGCAGTCTGTGTTGACAGGGGGACAGAGGTCAACCCCAAGGCCCCTCATATGTGGGGTGCCGCAAGGGTCGGTCCTCTCGCCTCTCCTGTTCAACATTTATGTGAAGCTGCTGGGCGAGATCATCCGTGGTTTCGGGGTGGAGTACCATCAGTACGCTGACAACACCCAGCTGTATATCTCCACCCTGGATCACCCCAACGATGCCCTTGAAGTGATGTCCCGGTGCCTGGAGGCCGTACGGATCTGGATGGGGAGGAACAGGCTCAGGCTCAACCCATCCAAGACCGAGTGGCTGTGGTTTCCGACGTCCCGATATAGTCAGTTGATGCCATCACTGACTATTGGGGGCGAATCATTGGCCCCCACGGAGAGGGCTCGCAACTTGGGCGTCCTCCTGGATTCACGGCTGTCTTTAGAAGAGCACTTGACGGCCGTGACCAGGAGGATTTTTCATCAGGTTCGCCTGATTCGCCAGTTGCGTCCCTTTCTGGATCGGGACTCGTTACGCACGGTCACTCATGCCCTCGTCACCTCCCGCCTGGACTATTGTAATGCTCTCTACATGGGGCTCCCCTTGAGGAGCACCCGGAGGCTCCAACTGGCGCAGAGTGCGGCCGCGCGGGTGGTAATGGGAGCGACATGGCACTCCCATGTGACACCTCTCCTGCGCGAGCTGCACTGGCTCCCGGTGGTCTTCCGGGTGCGCTTCAAGGTTTTGGTTACCACCTTTAAAGCTCTCCATGGCTTAGGACCTGGTTATCTACGGGACCGCCTACTACCACCAATAGCCTCCCACCGGCCAGTAGGCTCTCATAGAGAGGGACTCCTCCGGGTGCCGTCAGCCAAACAATGTCGGCTGGCGACCCCTAGGGGGAGAGCCTTCTCTGTGGGGGCACCTACCATCTGGAATGAGCTCCCCCCAGAGATACGGAGGATCCCGGATCTGCGCACCTTCCGCCGCGCTGTGAAGACCTTTTTATTCCATCAGGCGGGCTTGGCCTAATCTCTTCCCTTTTTAAACAAGTAAATTTTAATCTGTTTTTAAATTATTGGGGTGTTTTAAATTTGTCTGGGCCAAAATGATTTAATTTGATTTTATCTGGTTTTTTAAATTTTTTATATCTATGTTATTTTATTGTTTGGCTGTTCACCGCCCTGAGTCCTTCGG